ACTTGGACCCTGACTTGGACCATTTTTGAGGTCGAACGGACCTTAATCGAGTGTTCTCAACTGAGAACACTTCGACTAAAGTCGATTAGACCCCAAATCATCCTTTAATTTGGACAGATTTCAACCTTTGGTCTTCTAGGGTTCTTGGGGGTTCGATTTGGGATTCGTCCAGCTCCGGCTTGATTTGAGCAGGACTAACATGGGATTTGGGTCGGGGGGGTCAGGTGGTCAGAAGGTGTAAGTTGGAGGCGTTTGGGTGAACTAGGGTTAGGGGTCAGTTCTTCGATCTAAGATTTGAAGAGTTCCGTTGAGATTCGAAGCAAACAGAACATGGATTCGTGGAGATGATGGCTAGAAGGTTCGGGGGTGTTATTTGGGTGGCCATTAATGACTGACTGGCGCCGTGGGCGATTTCCGGCGGGCGGTTAGCGGTGGAACGCGGTTTGGTCTCTGAAGACCCTTTGAGAGAGACGAATAGGGGGTTCTAAGGGGGCGGGGGGCGGTCTTAGGGTTATATACTGGGGGAAGGATTTGATCCAGGCCGTTAGATCGATTAAGATCAACGTCTCGGATCAATTCACTTAATGGAACGGTGTCGTTTGGACACTCTTAAGACCGGGTTGGTCTCTGGACAAACGGGTCGACCGGGTTGGTCTTTGGACAAACGGGTATTGATCTGTGACCGTTGGATGTGGTTTGGTTGAATGACTGAGATTTTGCCATTGAAACGACGTAGTTTGGCTCCTATATTATGTCATTTCACCATCCTGTGAGATGAGCTGCCTGGACCGGGTTTGGGACATGCCACTGGGCCAGGGATTTGAGCCCAATCCGATTTTCCTCTCTTGTTCCTTCTTTTTCTTCAATTTTCCTTTTGTTTTTAATTCCTAATTACCAACTAAAAATCCTAATTAAATTATAAGATTGACAATTAACTAAACATTAACTTATAATAATAGCTATTATACGAAATCAAACATCAAATAAAGATAAAGTCACATAATGCGGACATTAGCGCAAGAATGCAAAGTACATATTTTTGTGATTTTTCCATTTTGTAAAACAAACTTGATTGTTTAATTAATTCCTAAATTGTAAAATTAAACCCTAAATATACATGCAACACATATTTTTGTATTTTTCTCATTTAAAATATAAAATAAATATGCGCAGACAAAACACACATAAATTACAAACAACACAAAACTATTTTATTTTGAATTTTTGGGAGTAGTTCTCATAGGGCAAAAATCACGTGCTCACATGTATAACTACATAATATTATCTGATATATTATTTTCTTTGGAAGACAAAGTAAATAATTTATTACTTTATATGTAGGTCACATTACAAGTCCCTAAAAGCGACGGTAAATTTCTAACATAACCTACAGCTTATGGTGGAAAAAGAAAAAGTATATGGAATATTTATCTCGTTTTCAGCATTTTCTTGAAATACCATCTTAGTCAAACATGCAATAACGATAAAAAAAAAAAAAAAAAGTTTTTCCACAAAAAGAGCTCGCTAGCTCTTATAGTCACTATAGTAATAAATAACGGGCATGTATAGAAAAAGTATTACTCCTTCCGGTCTACGATAAGTGATCAATTTACTTTTTTATTTTGATCTAAAATAAATGTCTATTTATATAATTAAGAAAGAATTTAATTTGTTTTTACAAGATTACTCTTATGTACATATCCCTAAAAAGTTTTCTTACTCTTCACATTAAATATTTAATTAAGGGTAGTTTAATCATACTAGATATTTTTGTATAAAATTGTATTTTTTAATGGGCATGCCGAAAGTAAATTGATCACTTATCGTGGACCGAAGGGAGTACAATAAATCAAGAGCTATGTGAGTTAGTAAATGAGTTGGTGCGGATGAGTTGGATGTAGAAAAAGAAAATTCCTCAATAATCACAAAATAGACTAATACTATCAAGACTTTTAGTTTAATGACGCCAGTATAAGTTTGAAATAAATTATTTTAATTTTTAAGTGACATCACAATCTCAATATGAAAATAAAGTCATGTGTTCTTAAATACTAGTGTTAGAACCCGCGCGATGCGCGGATAATTTGACGGAATATTAATCTTATAAAATTATGACCTAATATATTATATTATTTTAATAAATATTAATTATTATTTAATATAGTGTACATAAATATAATAAAATCTATAAAAAAAATCAAAGGTTACAAAGCATTATAGTAAACAAATTAATTGTTTATTATTTATTAAATTAGCAATTACTTAGTACTATACATTTATTAATGTAATTTTTTTTATTAATTTATCAATTGACTAAATATTTTGATACTACTTCTCTTCTAGTAGAACATACGTATATATTTTCTTATTCTGGAAATATATATTTTTATATTTATGTTATACTGTTTAAAATTATTGATAAGCATTTTATTATTTTTATAAAAATGTACTAATATTTTTTCTAATTAATAAAATGTGTTTTATATATAATAAATTATCTTATGTATAATACCTTAATAGTTTCTTTATATTTTTGTATTTTTCATTATGAAATTATGAGTTCTATTTATTAACTAAATTGTCCTACATGAGAAGTTTAATTAGTATATGTATTTTTACGATATCATTTGATTTTGTTTTTTAGTATTATAATACCCTAATAATTTCTTTATATTTTTGTATTTTTCGTTATGAAATTATGAGTTCTATTTATTAACTAAATTGTCCTACATGAGAAGTTTAATTAGTATATGTATTTTTACGATATCATTTGATTTTGTTTTTTAGTATTCTTAATTTATGACTAATTGTTTATTAAGATTTTAGTTATGTGTATATGTACGAATTTTCTCATAATAATTATAATTATTTTTATAAGTCTTGTATGTGTGTATATATATATATATATATATATATATTTGCTCCTTGGTTATCTAACTGTATTATCCATTTTTTAATATTGTTAAATTGACATATGAATTATTAATAAGTAAAAGATTTAGTATAATAACTACTCCCATATATATATATATATATATATATAGACACACACACTACTACTATATTAGAAAGAAATTACTTTCCAATTTGAATTGGTAGTTTTTTATTTTTTTATTGTAAAACAATTTTAAAACTCCAATTTGAATTATGAGTAGAATATTTTTTTGTATTTTCGTTTTTTATCATAATTATAAGATATCTATATTTATTAATTAAAGTAGTGTAACCAATTAATTCAAAATTTAAAATTCAAAAAAAAAGTTAGTTAGAAAAGTAGTTTATTTTGTCTTAACAATGCCACTTGGCTTTTTGTTGTTAAGACACTTGCCTTAATGTAGTGTATTTGCTTCTCCTATTCTATATAGATAGATTTTTAATATTGTTAAATTGACATATGAATTATTAATAAGTAAAAAAATTTAGTATAATAACTACTCCCATATATATATATATATATATATACACACACATACACACACTAGTACTATATTAGAAAGAAATTACTCTCCAATTTAAATTGGTAGTTTTTTTTTTTATTGTAAAATAATTTTAAAACTCCAATTTGAATTATGAGTAGAATATTTTTTTGTATTTTCGTTTTTTATCATAATTATAAGATATCTCTATTTATTAATTAAAGTAGTGTAACCATTTAATTCAAAATTTAAAATTCAAAAAAAAAAAATAGTTAGAAAAGTAGTTTCTATTTTGTCTTAACAATGCCACTTGGCTTTTTGTTGTTAAGACACTTGTCTTAATGTAGTGTATTTGCTTCTCCTATTCTATATAGATAGATTAATGATGCCAACCGATCATTGAATGCTATTTATTACTACAGAATTCAGAAATCCTTTACCCTGGCCCTAAGTAATACTCTATTCAACCAAACATTAATTTATTCTGGATCGAAACGTCTGAGGAATTGAGTAAAGCCAGAGAAGGAGAGATATTGTTACATCATTGTTAAGTTCCGGAGAGATATGGAGATCACTGGGAGAAGAAGGAGGAGAAAAGAGGCTGAAGTTATTTAAAAAGTGGGTACAAGTTAAAAGTTATTAAAAAATGAATATAGATTAAATGAGGGCGACCACATACAAGATTATAAGTCTTGTATGTGTGTGTGTATATATATATATATACACACACACACACACTACTACTAATATATTAAAAAGAAATTACTCTCCAATTTGAATTATGAGTAGAATTTTTTTTTGTATTTTCGTTTTTATCATAATTATAAGATATCTATATTTATTAATTAAAGTGTGTGTGTGTGTATATATATTTGCTCCTTGGTTATCTAACTGTATTATCCATTTTTTAATATTGTTAAATTGACATATGAATTATTAATAAGTAAAAAGTTTAGTATAATAACTACTCCCATATATATATATATATATATATATAGACACACACACTACTACTATATTAGAAAGAAATTACTTTCCAATTTGAATTGGTAGTTTTTTATTTTTTTATTGTAAAACAATTTTAAAACTCCAATTTGAATTATGAGTAGAATATTTTTTTGTATTTTCGTTTTTTATCATAATTATAAGATATCTATATTTATTAATTAAAGTAGTGTAACCAATTAATTCAAAATTTAAAATTCAAAAAAAAAGTTAGTTAGAAAAGAGTTTATTTTGTCTTAACAATGCCACTTGGCTTTTTATTGTTAAGACACTTGTTTTAATGTAGTGTATTTGCTTCTCCTATTCTATATAGATAGATTATAAGATATCTATATTTATTAATTAAAGTAGTGTAACCAATTAATTCAAAATTTAAAATTCAAAAAAAAGTTAGTTAGAAAAGTAGTTTATTTTGTCTTAACAATGCCACTTGGCTTTTTGTTGTTAAGACATTTGTCTTAATGTAGTGTATTTGCTTCTCCTATTCTATATAGATAGATAGACTAGGTAAAACCTTATCAAATTATTTGCTTACTCCTAACAATAACAGGAATAAACTAGTCCTTAGACTTTTAAGGGTAATAGAGTCTTTTAAACAAGTACTCATTCTGTTCCCGTCTGTGGGTGACAACCAAAAAATCATTCTATTATTCTCGATTGCTCCAACCCATTTTCCCACCGATTCTTCGATCACCGGCCGGCGAATTTCTCTCCTTTTTCCGATCAAGTCAAGGTGCGTATCTATCTTATCTATGAATTTATCCCTTTTCTAGTAACATATTCTACTTACATTTGCTAAATTATCATAAATTTCGGCTTTAATTTTTTCGGTTCTCTAAGAATAATCATGATCTTATGGAATCAAAAGATCACATTTTGGTGTCTTGTTATTGCAATGGAGAACCTAATTTAGAGAAAAAGATAGTTAATTGGTTGAAATTACGGTTATTTTATGTGATCTGAAGGTATTTGTGAAGTTTGAGAAGGGGGCAAGGCATAATGAGTCAGGTGTTCGAAGGATATGAAAGGCAGTACTGTGAGCTTTCTGCTAATTTAACGAAGAAATGCAGCTCAGCTAGTATCCTTGATGGAGGTGAGAAAGATATAGCCATTTTCTCCTTTTTCTACGAAAAGATGCTCCTTTACTTACCCCAAAAAGGGAAAAATGCATTCTTGTTTTCTTCTGAAGAGTTTTTGTTTTTTATTTTTATTTTGTATAATGTTGGCCTGAGAGGAATTTAAACGAGGAACACGGTCAGTGATGATTCATATAGCTGACCCTGACTTGTTTGGGAATGAGACGTAGTCATTGTTGTATTGAAATCGCAAAGAATATTGAAAAGAATAAGTATCACTGCTCCTAATGCTGGATTACACGATAGGTCTTGTAAAACCAAGTAGTTTTTCATAAAATGTCAATTGGTTGGTAAGCTTATCTAAAGTTGGTTAGGTTATTTTGGTTGTTGGGCTTAATTCTTTGGGATAGCATTCTCTTGACTTTGACTTCCAGAACTATATCCCAAAAAATGCTACTATTAAGTTCCATTTCAACCTGTTTCAAACTTCTGATACTGCTTGCTTTTGTGTTCTTGTGCATTTTTTACCATTAGGCCAGTTGTTGCCTTTTAGTTGCTTCTGTTACTTCTTAATCACAGGGCTCATTAATCTGCGATTACCCTATCTCTGCCTGTTTGAGACCTCTGTTACAGCTTTTTTTAATGCTTGTGGGCTTTGACCATTAGTTCCTTGTTGCCTTTTTAACTGTTTCTGCATGTTTTTTTCACGCTTGCAGAGCAAAAGAAACAAAAAGTGTCTGAAATAAAAGCTGGCCTAGATGATGCTGAAGCATTGGTAATTCTGAATAACTTTGGCCGCAAATTGTTTTTTTGCTTGTTTCTGTATTTTGGTTAAGAATGCTCTTTTATCCTCATTTCCAGATTCGCAAGATGGACCTAGAAGCTAGGAGTTTACCTCCAAATGTTAAGGCCACGCTTCTTGCCAAGTTAAGAGAATATAAAAGTGATCTGAACAACTTAAAAAGTGAAGTGAAAAGAATCACATCAGCAAATGCAAACCAAGCTGCAAGGGACGAGTTGTTGGAATCGGGGATGGCAGATACTATGATGGTAATCCCCTCTTCCATATTGCGCTTTCCAGCTAATCAGTTTAATGAAGGAACATTATGCTGATCTTAATCCTTTAAAGCATTGATTAGTAAATTCTCATTACTCTCATTGACGTTGGCTAATAGTTTCCAATTGCAACTTCAATTTAAAGGACATGCTAATAATTGCACCGTACAGACCGAATATTGTAGTTTTCCCAGACATCTGAACCAATAGTGCGTCTCTCACATTGTATTACTTTATTGGTCTACATTTCCAACTTTCTCTTTAGGGTCTATCTCAATAATAGGTTCTTTTCTTTTCCTTTAGGTTCTTTTCTTTTTTCTTTTTTACGAGTCATTGCAGTGGTTTTCCTTTACAAGGGAAATTTAACCATTGTGGTATTGTTTTTGTCAAGAGGGAGAATAGCAAATAGTATAAGCTTTTAAGCATGTTGGAACCTGTAATACTCTGTCCATTCCATTTTATAGAGGTATTGGACTGGAAGATGTTATTTTGACTTGTAGTATGTTGATGATATTGAAAAAAACATTAAACTAATAATTGAAAAGCAAGTCTGATCGAGCAAATTTTACACTGAATTAAAAGCTAAATAGTTAAACGAATTTGTAATCTTGAAAATTGTGAAAGCGGTATAGAATAAGATTACTAGTGGAATAGTGTCAACTACTTTGGGAATGTCACATGAAGGAAAGAATATTCATATTAATTGGGAGGGAGGAAATACTTTGTGTCGTTATCACATAAAACATAAAGTTATGGAAGTTTCATATGGCTAGCTTATTGCTTGGGTGTGCTTTTCGAGCAATCATTTCCTTTATCAATGTGACTGTCAGGATGGATATCTTATGCTGTGGAAGTTTTTATGTGAGATTGAACGTTCTTTCACTTTTTGATCGACGCTTCATTGGTTATGCTTTTGCTTGGTCAAAATTTTAATTCAATGCCATATAGGTGTCTGCTGATCAAAGGCAAAGGTTGATGATGTCAACAGAGAGGTTGAATCATTCGAGTGATAGGATCAGGGAGAGCCGAAAAACAATGCTAGAAACCGAGGAACTAGGGGTCTCAATTCTTCAAGATTTGCATCAACAACGTCAGTCTCTCCTGCATGCACATGACACGGTATGCCCTTTATCCATTTTTTGTCTTGTGCATCCAATCGGTATGGGCAATAAGAAACTAAGAGGAAAACAAGAAGAGGGAAAACCTCCAATTCTGATATGTCACTGTTGTGAAAATTTCAGATGATGTTTTGACAGATCTAATTCAAATTTGCTTTGCTAAAAAAGGCATCTGTGATATAAGCTCGATTTTAAAATATCTAGTTATGAAAATTTGATCAGTAAGTTTCTTCCTTCACAGCTTCATGGAGTGGATGATAATATTAGCAGGAGCAAGAAGATACTGACTACAATGTCAAGAAGGATGAGCAGGAATAAATGGATCATCAGTTCTATCATTGCTGTCTTGGTCCTGGCTATCCTGTTAGTTCTTTACTTCAAGCTGGCCCATTAGCTCAATGGATGGCTTTCAGAATTTACGTGCTTCTCATTTGTTACAAAAAGAAAGAAAAAAGAAGAGCATGTATTGTTGGAGTACACTTTCTTGAGTTCACATGATAATTGTGATGTCAATTTGCGGTCTTTTTGTGGTGTGGTTTTGCCAACTTTCATGTGCTTTTTGCCCTGGCAATTGTCATAATATTAAATTGCCGTGTTTGTCCATTACTATGTCTGAATTTGGTGATCCTTGTCTGGGATCCGTAAAATGTATTTAACAGTGTGCAGCGTTTGATAGTGTTTTTTCCCTTACTTTTCATCTCCCTCGCCCTTTGCTTTAGCCTTTAGTCCACTCGTATAATCATATTCTAGTTTTCCATAGATGAACAACTTCTTTTGACCTACTATTGGTTCTCTTTCCGAAGGAATGGATCGGATAACAGTAATCTAGGAAACTTTTCGTCTGTAGGACTTCGTATAAGACGATTTTTTGTCAACTTGTAAAATCTGTGTCTTGGATGAACTTCTTAATTTTCTTTTTGTCAAGAGTTTAATCCCTCTTTTGGTACTAATTGAAAAAAAAACCTAGAGCATTTCAGATCCAAGTTTAAAACCCGACGCCCTTGTGTTCCTCTTTTTTCTTTTCCCTTGACACTATATTATTAAATGAGATTTAGCGTCTCTGACAGTGATTGGTCAGATATTGCTTAGAAAGAATGGACTAAATCAAATGAGGTACGTATGTCCCCAGAAAACATTTAGGGTTGTGTAGTGCATAAAAGTATTAATTTTTTGTAAAATAACATAGAAGTATTGGTAAAATTTTCAATTTTTGTACTTGGAGCAAGAATGTTCCCAAGTGTGTTTCCGAGCTAATGCAACTTTCTGTTACCCGCGCAACCTTCCGCGTACGAGATCCATTTTTTGCCCGAAATTCATCTCTACGTTAATGCTTACTGACATGCACCATTATGGGATAGAAGCAGCAAACGATGATTACGCTAAGCTTTGGCAGAATCTTATAGTCGACCATGCAAGCTCTCTGTTACATACAGCCTCCAACCTTTTTTATATTGTAGAATTCAAAAAGTTACCAGAAAGAATGTAACTGGAACTTCATTACCTTGCTTGACTGTGAAATCACAGGCTCTGGCTTCCTCACTATAGTTCAAGAATTCTAAATTCCGGTGATATTAGATGGGAAAAGCAAGAGCCACTATAGCACAATTAACTTCTCCTGTCCGGATTGCTTCTCTGAATCTTGACTTAAGCTTTATGTATTTTTACCTTGTTAACACACAATTACATGACACTGAAAACAGTGAGAGCAGAGGATTTCTTAATTTCTCATTGCACAACTGATCATGCATGTCGACCAAGTCGTTGATGGCAAGTTGGCCTGTTCCATTTGTGGGCATGTTGACCAAAACTGAAGCATCTTTTCATCCTCGAGGTATAATAGCTCTCCGGCACAGGAAATTCTGAGAACCAAGCCATTCATTGACAGGGAAAACTTCCACAAGATTGCAATCATCATAGACACATCGATTGATCATCCTCAGGTGAATCAAAATTTCCTGTTTGTTCCTCCTCCTCCTCATCATAATCTGCTGAAGCAGGATGCCCATTAAGATCCACATTCACACCATTGACCTTCCTAACAAACTGTCCCCTCACACGAGGTCTCCGTTCTGCCAGCTTTTTTCTGTTAACATACCTGATCTTCTTGTCAAAACATCTTTCCTTTCTCTTCTGTTTGAACTTCATAAGTGCTGCCTTTCTACGATCAACTTTGCTCCCCTTTCCTTCAGCCGAAGGCAAATTTCCAATTGTAGGCCACTGATGCGGTATTGGCATTTGGCCAGGTTGTAAGCATAGGCCCATAGGGTAGTAAGGAAATGATGCCATCCCATGCATATGAGGGGGACAAGGAGGCATATGGTTGTATGGAGGAAGTACAGCTGAATTAGCATGGTTGTGGAGATCTTGCAGGTTCTTCTGATAAATATGTGGTGATGGCATCATGACTTGATTCATTGCTCCAGAAACAAAATAGGAATAAGCAGTTTGTGCATGAAAACTCACAGCATCACGCTGAGCTTCATTGCGTGGATGCATGTACACCTGCGAGAACTCTTCCATCTTTGAGTTCCTCTGTTGCGTTAACTCTAATGACAAAGGGGGAGTACAGGACCTTTCCATGGAATACGACTCTGGAAAACTGTTACTACTTGGATAGTCATCGCCTTGTGAATTATTTTCAACTGCATCTCCATTTACTTGCATTTGAGTTTCAATCTCTAGATGCCCATCGACTGCATTAGTCTTCTCTTCAATTCTCAACTGAGGCACATTTTCGTGGGTGCAGGTTGTTCCTTGGTCATTGGTTGTAAGAACGCCTGATTTGACATAGGTAAAGAAGGCCGAGGACCCACCTATCTTCAGTTCACTCTTCTTAGGAAATAAGGAAATTTGTCCTGTTCAATAAGCAGTATGTTAAACTTAAATCCATTTGAAGAAATAGGGAAGGTTCATCTCAGATAGTTATAATTCTCAGGAGCATAAACAGCAAAGCTTATCACCTGTAGCAATCAATCTCAGGATCTGTTACATAAAACAATACAAGAACTCTAGAACAGAGATTACAATTGAAGTTGCTCATTAAGTCACTCATCTATAAGGCTATTTGAAGACCTTCAATATGTAAAGGCAACTGTAGTTTCAGTTAACATGAATTCAATGACTGCCCTAAATCATTCCAACAATAAAGAACACCATTCTCTTAATATCATCCTCAGACTTTAGACAAAGGAATACAAGATGAACTCAAATGTTTCCTCTACATATGGCAAATCTACTCACAGACTTGCCTGCTTCTGTTACTCGTTTCCACTGACACTACCTTAGGCATGCCATGCATCTCCAATAAATAGTTTATGCTTCAATAATTGAGTTCTAAAACACTACAATTTCACACGAAAACAGCAGAAATGTACTCAAATGCCTAGGATCTAGATAACTTCAAGCTTGGAAGAATGAGAAAATGCAGAACAAGTTCAGGCTAAAAGCAACAGAAATATACTCGAACGCCTTTTTGAATACCTTTCAAGCATGGAGGAAAATTGAAAATGCAGCCCAAACAATTGTAACAAGCTACCNGTGAAGCATGGAGTGCAAAAACCGGCGGCCAGATCCGGGTTGTGGACCGTTCTGGGTATCTTTAGTGAATCTAGGAACCGATGTACCGTGACAGCTCTTGGAGCGACCAAGTATTTTTGCTTTAACGGAAGTTCAGCAATTCCGATGTACCCAGCCATTTCTTCCAAAGTCGGGGTGAGTTCAAAATCAGAGAAATGAAAAACATTGTGCGTCGGGTCCCAGTAGGTAACCAAAGCTCTTATGATATCTCCCCGAAGCTGGATGTCCAACAAACCCACGAGACCTTTCAGATATTTCTTAACCTCATTTTGTCCTTCAGTCACCATAGCCGTAACTTGACAGGGATTTTGGTTATTATTGAAAAATGCTCATTTTGTATTGTGCTCATCCTGCACATTTATTAATAACTTGACTCAAAATATTTTACAAGGAGGATCAAGTTTTCGAACACGGCTTTTCAGCACTTCGGGGACGAAGATTTTGAGGTTGTGTGGGTCAACTGGATGAAAATCCTAAAATGACCCGAAGGTGGTTATTTATGCAAAGTCGGCCTTCCGGCGTCCCTTTCGGGAACATTCGGCTATTTATGACAAAACAACATCACCTAATTTATTCGTGACAGAGTTAAAATTAGACACACATTTTTTTTTATTATTATTCGTTTTTTTTTCTTTTTTTTTTAAAAATAAATACCCCTTTTTTTGAAAGTAATTAAAGAGAATATTTTTTCGACACTACTTGGACATTATTTTCCCAAAATAAGTAATTATCTCCCTACGCTGTTTTTTTTTTATTATTATTATTATTTTAGAAACCGGTCAGCATGCGGAACTGAAGCAAATAAATGCGCAAACAAGTAGGATGCAACAGGATGGTCTTTTCATTTCAGGTTGCCTGTCCCAGACGGACCCAACCCCTGTGTTGAGTCCCCTAAGTCAAATGCAACATGATGCAAATAAGCGTTCCTACTAGG